ATAACTGCTTTATTGTGAACAGCAGAATAAACTGATGTTCTAAAGTGAACTATAAGCAGGTATAAACTCTGTAATCAGGTGTAAACACAGTGACTGCTGTTTCAGGTCCCAGTGCCGTTCTCATGCTCAGATCAATCACATCGATCAGACTGATCAGCTGTGGACGTTCATAGCGTCATCTGATCTGAGGTCAGAGTTGGACCCTCACTCCAGGACTCCTGACGGCAGATATGCTGACCTAGAATCAGCCAGAGCTGTGAGTTCAATCAGTGTGAGCAGAGTAATCCAGGTCAGAGTCGTCATGTCTGAGAACCAGGCCAACAACAACGTCCCTGTAAACAACAACAACAACATGGGACCCAACAGGATCCGAAACCCCAACGTCAACCAGAACCCCCTCATCAATGTCCGAGACCGCCTCTTCCATGCCCTCTTCTTCAAGATGGCGGTCACCTACGCCAGACTCTTCCCTCCATCCTTCAGGAGAGTCTTTGAGTTCTTCGTCCTGCTCAAGGTGAGAAAAAGTTTTCTTTTGTTTTTTCTAAGTGTCCGTCAATGATGATGATGTCATAAGTTTGTGATGAAGGTGGAAGAACAGTGATGGTGAAAAGTCAGAGCACAGATTTCTTATCTTGGAGCGACAACAAGGTGGAACTGTTACTGACAGGAAGTGTTCGCGATTTCACCGCTGGTAGTCGAGTCATGTGACTGAAATGAACCGATCAGGAAGAGAACGTCTGCGTCATCGTTTACTAAAGTCTCAGTTTCTGTTCAGACTAAAACACAAAACCAGTTTTCAAACTAAAACCAGATCAGTTCACACAAGTCCCCAATCTAGAGGCTGGAAAACCCTTCAAGGTGTAACCATTGCAACAGTAATGTTTTAAGATTATCGACTCCGTGAGCAGACTTTAACATTTTTTTTCAATGTATATTCTAGGGGGACAGAGAGCTAGCGGTGAAGGGGTTGCAGAGTGCGAGTGGGGGATGAGCAAAGGGCTGCAGGTTGAACCCGGCCTGCTGCAGGGGCGTGTCACCCCATTGGGGTTTCGCAGAATTTCAGATCAGAACAAACCTCCATACGCTGTTCAGTTCTCTAAAATATTCATGATAAAAATAGTTAGGAGTGGTGGGTCTGTCCTGGAGAACATAGTTGAGTGAACTCAGTGAACCTGCACAACAACAACAACAGCAGCAGCAGCTCAGTGGTCATGTGTTTAAACTGACGGATTTAAAATCTCTCGCTCAATCAGATTAACAGTCACAACTTCAGACTTTTCTCAGCAAACACCATACAGACTGCTGCTTTGAGGGACTTCAACTGAAAGATAGGGTTATACATGTACAAACATCAATTCAATTTTATTTGTATAGCACACTCAAGGAACTTTACATAGAAGGTCAAGACCTTAAAATCTTATTAATGTAGAGAAACCAACATTTCAACAATGATCAGCACTTTGAGACTGTGGAGGAAAAACATTGTTAAAAGAGAGAAACCTCGAGAACCAGACTCAGTGTGAGTGGTCATCTGCCTCCACTGGTTGGGGTGAGCAAAGAAAAAAGGAGAGGAGAGATAGGTGGAAAAGAGGGGAGAGAAGAGAGAGAGATAGTGGGGAGGGGGAGAGAGAGATGTGAGAGAGATCGGGAACACTTGAGCACCATCGGGTATCAAATCTGACTAGTTAAAATGTAAACAATACAGTGTAAAGAAGTTATTGATTATTATTGATAACAGTAACAATTCATATAATAATTAACCACTGAAGAGTTGTTATTAATAATAATAATAATAATAATAGTTGTTGTTGTCCTGAAGTTCTGGAGTCAGAGATATCTGAAATGAGAGAAAAAGAGAGAGAGAGAGGGACTATGGGAGGAAAAAGTGAAATAGTCATTGACATGTATTAAAATAAATAAATGAGTGTGGGGGGACAGAGAGAAGTGGAGTAGTGCTCAGTGCATGATGGGAGTTCCCCCAGCAGTCTAGACCTATAGCAGCATAACTAAGTGATGGTTCAGGACGTGATCCAGAACTATAGACTTTATCATAGAGGAACATTTTAATTTAACTTTAAATGTAGAGATGGTGTCTGACTCTAGAACCCAGAGTGGGAGCTGGTTCCACAGGAGAGGAGCCTGGTAGCTGAAGGTTCTACCTCCTGTTCTCCTCTTACAGACTCTAGAACCACAGGAGAACCTGTGTTTTGGTAGTGAACTGATCTATCTGGATAATGAGGTGTTATCAGCTCTTTGACATATGAAGGGTTTGATTGTTAATGTTTAAATGTGAGGAGCAGGTGGAAGAAAGCTGTCCTAGAGACTTGTTTTATATGTTGGTCAAATGTCCTGGTCAACCATAACTCAAGGTTCCTCACAGTGGAGCTGGAGGACAAACTGACACCATCCTATGTAACTATCTTTTCCATCCATCCCTCCTCCCTCTTCTTCCTCTTCCTCCTCCCCCTAAGGCACTATTCGTCCTCTTTATCCTCGCCTACATCCACATCGCCTTCTCTCGCTCGCCCATCAACTGTCTGGAGGCGGTGAGGGAGCGCTGGCCTCGAGATGGGATCCTGCGGGTGGAGATCCAGAGGAATTCCAGCCGGGCCCCTGTCTTCCTGCAGTTCTACGACTCCAGTGGCCTCCAGGAGGTTATAGAGACTGAGGAGGAAGGAGGGGTGGGGCTCAGTCTCGCAGCACTGCAGGAGGAAGACGAGGAGGAGGAGGAGATGACTCTTGACATGTTTGACAACAGTTCGGTGCAGGTGATTCTCAGGTCCAGGTCGTCAGCACTGTATACTTAATAATGAATCCTCCATGCCCCTGAACATGAAAAGAAGAGTAGTTCAGAACCAGAACCTTCTTGCTCTGGTTCAGGTGTCAGATGTGTATAGAGAGGGACGATCTGATTAACATCAGTAAACATCTGTTAAACATCTGGGGCCTGTACTGTGAAGCGGGTTCAACATACCCAGGATACCTTTTCATTATCTAGATGAGCTTTACCCATCAATCGCAATCGCTAAGTGGTCACGTGAAGCTGGAGATCAACTGATTAAGTTAACCCAGGTTTTCCTCTAGATAGGAGTGCTTGCACATGAAAGGGGCAGGGATAACTGTGTATGACCAATCACAGACATGGACAGTTTGACTGACAGCAGAGCCTCATATTTCACAATGAGGATCAAACTGTTCTATTAGAAAATATGAGGAGAGCAAGCACATGATCCAGAATAAAAGAAACACTTACAGCTGGTAAAACATCTCTGATTGTGTGAATGTGTAAGTTACGGCGCCACTTGGTGACATTTAAGTTAAAATATATTATATGACCATGACATAATAACGTGTGCGAATGACATAATAATGACCCAGGGCTTGTGTAAACTATCTTCCCCTCATTCCAAATGAATATTTAAAGTGATAGTTTTTTTTTTTCATTGAATACCTGTTAAACATTGGTCAACAGCAGTGACTTACTCTAATCACCAGCAGTTGGCGCTGCAGTGTTATTCACTGAAGAGAGGAGCAGATTACCACTTGCCGTTCTCACCTCCTTCTGATCTCTATTTTGTTCTGTTCTCCATTGTCTCTGTCCTATGTTCTCTGGTTGTTTGTTTTATTCTCTGTTCTTTTCTATGTTCTGTTCTCTCTGTACGATGTTCTCTGATCTTTTCTGTTGTCTCTGCTTTCTGCTGCAGTTTGAGCTCGACATAGAACCTCGTCTGAAGCCGTCTGTGGTTGGAGGAGGAAGAGGAGGAGTGAACGACAGTCAGGATGTTTCGTTCAGTCAGAACACTAAAGGTATGAAGTTGCTGAAGAACTCACTGTCTGAGCTGGAGATGAAGACCAGACTAGGTAAACGTCTCCTCTTCCTTCTTGTTGGTGAGGATTGGATGTAAGGACTGTATGTTGGAAACTTCCTCTGTTTAGCTGATTCTGTTTCCAGCTTCGCCTTAGGTTTGTCTGTTAAAACACGGACTCGGATGACTTCTCTCTCTTGAAAACGTGTCATAGTATGATGTGTCGTAGGATGTGTGTGTGGGTGCTTCTGCAAAGATAAATGATGATAATAACTATTTGAGTGATTGAACACAGTGCCACTATATAACCTAAAGGGCACACTGTACACAAATTGTAGGATAAGCACATACATATATACACATGTAGTTTACTGATAACACAAAGTACACAGCTCACAGGTCTCAAGGAAAGACAGCAGTGTCTGGCTGACAGACAGCTGTCAATCTCCACACGCTTCTCGTTATCCTCCGTCACATATCACTGGTACTCCACTCGCTGCTCTCCCCTTGTGACTGCACGTTCCAGTGAACTCTCTCTGTGTACCCTCGAAACTTGCTGCTGATTGACAGCCTTTTACACACCTTCCTCTTCTTCCTTTTCCTCTTGTTCCTCCTCTTCCTTCATCACCTCCTCTTTTTCTTCCTCCTCCTCTTCCGCCATTACCTCCTTTTCCTCTTTTGTAAACAGCTGAACTTGTAGTTCACACCAGCAGGGGGCAGCAGTTGTTAAAATGAAACAAAATAAATTATATTAGATAAATTTAGTAATTGATTGATTGATTGAGCTTTGTTACAGTGACTGTTAATCAGTCCCATTTATTCTGTAACCTCACATCAAATATTAAATCAACTGAAATGCAACATTAAAACAAATCTTTCCTTAATGATGCCTCTTCGTCTTCATCATCTTCATCATCTTGACCTTCATTGTCACCAGTGTCAACCAGGTTACGTCCTCTGACCTGAGATTTGTTGTTGTGTTTCAGTTTGGCCTCAGGAGGAATACATTGTGGAATATTCTCTGGAGTACGGTTTCCTGCGTTTGTCTCAGAGCACAAGACAAAGACTCAACATCCCTGTCATGGTCGTCACATTGGGTAACACACCTGATACTTACCTGAAATACAGACCTGTGACACACACCTGAACACCAGCAGTGTCATGCACTGTCTTAGACTGACACTTGTCTCTGTTCAGATCCCATGAAGGACGAGTGTTTTGGAGACGGATTCAGTCGTTTCCTGCTGGATGAGTTTTTGGGATACGACGACATCCTGATGTCCAGCGTGAAGGCGCTCGCTGAAAATGAGGAGAACAAAGGTAGAGAGACACTGAGAGAGAGCAGGAACATGATCATAAATTAATTCATAATATCAGCCTCAATAAATAGATACGTCTAAAGATTACTGTTTTCGTCATGCAGAAACTGGAAACGTTTTTTGATTTTAAATGTGTGACTATAGAACCTGAGTTTTCTGCAGGGTTCCTGAGGAACGTGGTGTCTGGAGAACATTATCGCTTTGTCAGCATGTGGATGGCCAGAACCTCCTACCTGGCCGCCTTTGTCATCATGGTCATATTCGTAAGTAAACAAGTCAGAAGGAAGCTGGTCAGTCAGTATATGTCAGATTTTAAAAACAGAACACACAATGTCAAATCTGACTTTACTGTATTATTAATATTATTATATTAATGGATGTTTTATTTATTTGATGTCTTGTGGTTCTCAGACTCTGTCCGTGTCCATGCTGCTCAGATACTCTCATCACCAGATCTTCGTCTTCATCGGTCAGTTTGTTGTGAGATGTCCCATCCACACTAATATAGTCCAGTCCACATTTATATAATCCAGTCCACTTTACTATAATCCAGTTCAGTTTAATGTAGTCCGGTCCAGTTTAATATGATCCAGTTTAATGTAGTCCAGTCCAGTTTAAGCCGGTCCAGGTTTTCTGGTCTCAGGGGTTTACAAGTGCACTGAGATCTTTTTAAACCAGCCCTCTCAGCATCAGGGTTTTGTCTTGATCTGAATTCTGTGTGTCCCTGTCAGTGGATCTGCTTCAGATGTTGGAGATGAACATGACCATCGCTTTTCCTGCAGCTCCTCTGCTCACGGTCATCCTGGCCCTCGTCGGTAAGTTCACCTGTAATCAGTTCAGTTACATTTGATTTGTATAGCGCAAAATCATAACAAACATTATCTCAAGACATTTTATATAGTGAAGTCCAGACCATAAAAATATAGAGAAACCAACAGTGCACACAATGAGAAAGTGACTCAATATCCGTCTGAGTACTTGGTCAGAGTCTGCGTTCTGCGTCTGGGTCATACCAGGGCCCTGTACTACGAAGCCGGATTTGCACATATCGTTGTAGCCTCTAGGTTAGTTCAGGGTTTCCAGTACTAGGAAGCTTGTTCCCTTGTTATTGGGGTAAATCACCATGGTAACTTATGCTGAGCAGCTGACCTGCTCCAGGTTAAGTTGGAGATAAGAGATCAAACTGTATAAAGCTCCGCACACTGAGGAGCTGGTGTGGATTGTTGGAGTCTTTGAGGAGGACCAAGGTCTTCTGAGACCCACAAGATCCTTAGAAATCCTCTGATGAGTTTCTGAAAGATCTAGATTATCCTCAGAGGATAAACCTTTGTCAGCTGCTGGAGCCCAACAGAACCAACCTGACCCGTAGGAGCAAAGTACTCACAGTACCACAGACTGCATCTACTTCACTAACTGATACTGATGTACTGGGAGTGTTAGTAGAGGAAAACCACACATACTTCAATATTTTGATCCTTTAATTAGCTTTATCCTGTGAAATGAAATATTTATTTGGGGGATAGATACTTTACCTTATTACCTAGAGGGGGCTTAACCCTGATTTTTTGCATCAGATGTTTTCATACCTAAATTCTTGCACCTTTGTTGATGGGATGTCACTTCCTTTGGTCAGGTATGGAGGCCATCATGTCAGAATTCTTCAATGATACGACCACGGCCTTCTACATCATCCTCATTGTTTGGTTGGCTGACCAGTATGACGCCATCTGCTGCCACACCAACACCAGCAAACGTCACTGGCTGAGGTGAGTCAAATGACCAATGCCGGCTAAAGCCATTGTCTCCTTTTAAACAAATGACCACGCACGATGAAACATCCCTTTAAACCTTTGATAAACCTGTAATGTGCCGGGAAAACCCCTTGAAGACACAAACTAGTACAGTACAGTCACTTCTCGTTATTCGATAAATCCCAACAAAATAAATTATCATCATCATATTTGTAAATGAATAATTCTGTCCCAAGCTTTTTGATCTATATAAACGATTGATCACTGTGATCGCCTCGCAATTCTCTTTGCAGGATAATCCTGATGTTCTCATGTTCTTCTGCTCATGTTCTCATGTTCTCATGTTCTTCTGTTCATGTTCTCATGTTCTCATGTTCTCATGTTCTCATGTTCTTCTGTTCATGTTCTCATGTTCTCATGTTCTCATGTTCTTCTGTTCATGTTCTCATGTTCTTCTGTTCATGTTCTCATGTTCTCAGATTCCATTACTTTATTTGACAGGGACAGTGCATATTAATAACATTTCTAAATATATGCCAGAGTTAGTCACAGAGGCAAATTTTCCTCTGTAGTCCCTGGGCAGGTGATCAAAGTGCAGACATTAAGAATAAAAGCATTAAAATACAGATAACTATAAAAGCAATGAAAAATATAGAGACATAAAAGCGCCTGACTTACATAAAAGCAAGAGCTGTTAAAATACTCAGAAGGAACAACAGGCCAACAATTAACAAATAGCAAGACAACACAATATTAATATAAGGTCTGGTGAAGAGTGAACACTAAGACACAAGCAGAGCAGCTGCCAACGCAAGAAAGACATGTAACACCAAGACAGATAACACAAATCAAATCACATTTTATCTGTATAGCCCATATTTTCAAATCACTTGTCTCATAGGCTTTAACAAGGTGTGACGTCCTCTGTTCTTAACTCTCAACAAGAGTCAGGAAAAACTACAAAAAAAACTTTTAACTGGGAAAAAGAACATACAAACCTCAGAGAGACACATGTGAGGATCCGTCTCTCAGGATGGACACAAGTGCAATAGGATGCCACGTATAACTGAGAACATCAGAAAATAAGAGCATTTACAGCATTGGTTAGAATAAAACAGTCTGTAGCTCGATGGAAGTTAAATTAATTGAGGAATTATTGTCAGTAATGCTCGAGTATCTGAGGAGACATATTGTTTATCAAGTAGTCTTGCTGTAGTCCTAGTCCACGATCAGCTGCCACCACGATCAGGATAGACGATTGGATGCCATCATAGTCCACAATCCATCGTCATGATCCACTGCCGCCATCAGGAGCCACCATCAGCTAACACCTTGATCATGGTCCACCACTACGATCAGATGCCAGTGTGATACAAAAAACATTTCATGTTCACACTTTTGATTTCTAGTAAACCAGGCTTTTAATGTGGAGGAGAAGATGGTAGTTGGCGAAGTTTCTTATGTGTTGCGTTAAGTTGTTCCAAACCTGTGAGACTCTGACAGAGAAGCTGATTGTGTCAGTTAATCAGCTCTAGTTGTTGCTCTAGTAGTTTGGCTTGTTTTTAACATTATATAGGTACGAAGTGGTGGATGAGCCAGATTTTTAAATACCTTGAAAACAAGACATCTACTCAATTGGATCATGTTTTCCCAGATTAGTAAATTGTGTCTTTTTGGAATATTGCAGTGATGGGGGGTTTCATGTCTAGAGTTTTCATTGTTTGTTTGTAGGGGGATTCTGTTGGCTTCATTGTAGTTTTATTGATGTGTCTCCAACTTTTCCGACAGCATGTGATGTGTGTGAGGATCATTGCATCCGTGAACATTTGGGCTGAATTCGTGGACATGGATTTCCTTATGTATTTAAAATTTGCCAGATTGAATCTGACCTCTGTTTTTACAGTGATGCCAAGATATTTGAACTGAGACATGATCTTTATATTTTTTCCAGAGACTGTGATGTCTAGAGGGTTTTAGATGTTTCTTGCAGTTAATGAGGGAGTTTTTTCTTTCTCGCCAAAGTGCTGCTCATTGTGGGAACTGTTGCTTTCTCTATAATTCTTAAAGATACAGTGTGTAGAATTTAGTGACATCTAGTGTTGAAGTGTCATGTTGCAGCTGAACACATACAAATTGAGCTAGTTATGCAGACAATTTTGATGCAACTTCATCTTTACTTTTGCACATAGACAACCATGTCATACACATACATCTGGACATTAACACCAGAGCAAAGTGGGACACCAGGGAGAGATTTGATAAGAGCTGAGTGTTGGTGGTGTACTCTCACAAATTGAGCTCTTTCTATAACCAATTATTGTATTAAGTTAAGTGCATTGGGGGAAAAGTTAAACCCAGAAAGCTAGGCTAGAAAAATGTTAATTGTTGATTTGATGTTTTATATAAAAGTGGAGTGTTTTGCTCTTAAGTCGAACTGCAGAGGATGAAGAGCAAAGGGCCTGTCGTTAAGATGAAGAATGAACTGTTCTGATATCTATTTCCCAGCAATCTATGAGATGCCAGGCAATAAACCGATGTTCAATGGGTTGACAATGGGTGTCACTATAGCTGCTTTCCATGTCGTTGGAAAGATTCCCTTGAAATCCCTCCACCATGACTGACAGTGGGGTTAGGGTAGTCCAGTAGAACCTGGACAGCCGGTGCAAAGAGGAGGGTTAGAATTGTGAACTTGTGTACACAGAGTTTTTCTGGGAACAGAATATTCCTGCAGTCAGGTTGATGCTCTTGTGGCTGAAAGCGTTGTTGAAAGCTGCTGGTGCTGTTGTTTTGTCAGCTTTGTTGGTAATCGGGCCAGGACACTGATGTTTGTCAGCTGACAGTAACAGGCAAATTATTGTGATGGGCCTGTCACGTCCTGGCTTTGTTCCGACTTTATTCTGCTGTTTATTGCTGGATGAGTAGATGAAGGTTTCTAGGAGAACATATCTCAGAAATTGTATAAGTGAAACATTCATGGCTTTATCATGCAATTGATTCAACAGCTCATGCCTGTCGCATTGTTTATCACCAAGACATGTTTCCTCATAGTTTTGTTTGAACAGATTGAGAAATTAGTTTGTAGACAGGCATAGCTGTCAGACCTCCCAATGCTAACTGCCATGTTTACCCTCTCTTGTTTATGTTCTCAGGTTTTTCTATCTGTACCACTTTGCGTTCTATGCCTACCACTACCGGTTCAACGGACAGTACAGCAGCTTGGCCCTCGTTACGTCCTGGCTCTTCATCCAGGTCAGAACTATCACCATTGTCATCAAACACCAGATCATCCTCAGGAGAACCACATCAAACCTCAGACTGTAGAACCACATTATCGTTAGGAGAACCACATCAAATCTCAGACAGTAGAACTAGATCATCAGAGTATGTTTAAAAACAGTAAAGGAGACATATTGCCATGTGTAATGTTTACATCACGTCAAACAACATCACTAACCTTCCACTTTCCTTTCTTCCTCGTCTTCAGCACTCTATGATTTATTTCTTCCATCACTACGAGCTTCCTGCGATTCTTCAGCAGATCAGGATTCAGGAGATGTTACTTCAGAACCAGCAGGCGGCTCAGGCGGCCAATCAGACAGCTCTGCAAGACAACCTGAACAACAACGATGCCGCCACTGCAGGACCCGCCCCTGCTGAAGCAGAACAACCCCACCCCCCCAGTCCCCCCCAGCCCCCGGCCGACCTCCAGCCGCCCCCCCCTTCCTCTCCAGCAGGTGGTGGGGTAGGGGAAGTAAGGTCAGAGCTAAACTGGGTCGCTCACACGGCTGCAATCATCTCCGAAGCTTTGTCCTCCTCCGCCCACAATGTCTCTGTCGAGTCCGTCACTTCTGGAGCCGCAGCTGGACGCCACGGGTCAGCTGGAGGCCATGGGTCAGCTGGAGGCCACGGGTCAGCTGGAGAGATCAGTGTGGTGGCTGAGTTTTGGATGGGAGGAGGGGGTGAAGGGGGAGAGGATCCAAACGTCTCAGTAGAAATTAAAACCACCGCAGGAGGCGGAGTTGAATCTCCACCAAGCCATCCAATAAGAGGGACAGAGGCGGGGCCCCCTCAGACAGACTGCCCCCCCTCACAGAGTTCAGGAACAGACTGTCGACCTCATCAGACGTCGTCTATGACCTGAGGATCCTCAGGTCGTCTGACGTCAACTCACCTGTCGGACACTGTGCCTCCGTTTGTCATGATTGATTGATTATCTGACCTTTTTAATGTAAACTAATTCCTGACTCATTGATCAGTTTACTTCTGAATCTGGTTCAGACGTGATTCAGTTACAATGGAAACAATACATGAAACTGAGACGAGCTGTTTGTTAAATTATCACCATGGAGACGGTGTAACCAATCAGAGAAACTGTTGTTTTGATGTTGAATTCTTTTCTTGTTGCTTTTTTCGTCTTTCAGGCGAAACAATCGATCAACAATTGAAGTAATTGATCATCTGAATTACAAAGATTTAATTCAAATTCCTGTTTGAAACTGTGTTTGACGAGTGTTCGTTAAGTTTCACGTCTTAAGTATGAACCAATGGACTTGGAGCTGAAAAGAGGCGACAACATACTTAACCCGATGATCAGTTATTGATCATTGATTGTATGTTCATTAGCTCTGGTTCTGACAGATTGAAGCACAAACTCTGAACTGTGTTACTTTTTGTTTCCACCTGCTTTTATTTAGAAGAAAAAGACTTTTAGAAGAGGACGTTTGTTTTGAAGGGTGGATCAGGACTTCCTGTCAGAATCGATGCCTTATCAATAATCTCCGGACTATGAACGTCTCATCAATGTCAGCAGCAGAGCAAGATGATAGGTTGTGCAATTTGATGCCAACTGTGTCACACCTTAGGCCCCGCCTCCAGAGAACTAATTGAAGTGACGTGAATGCATAGTGGTGACAGACCACGCCCTCTGTGCTCCGTGTCAGTTGGTAATCTTCGTCACATCTGGTCTCTAATGTTCAGCCTTCCTGTGATCGGTTATTGCACATGTTGAATCACGCAGTAAATTAAGAACAAAACATGTAAATAAACAGCCCCACCGGCTGGTGAAGTCTAACACTGACGTGAGCCCGGGTCATCGATGAAGAGGGTGGGGCCTAAAGTGTGACATCAGAGACAGACACTGCAGCAAGCTTTCTTCTTTGTGCCTCTGCTGGTCGTCAGTCGTCTGACACCCATCGTCTGTTTAACCAGTAAAATTTCACAACATCAAGTCTTAATGCCTCCGACTCTTCTTGTTCATTTCAAACATCAAACTTTATTCAACAATAAAACAGACGCTGTTTGAAGGACTACAGAAATGAGTTTAAGTTTGTTTGGAATGACATCACTATAAAGTCAACTAATAAAATTAGATGCATGATCTTGCTTATATTTGGGTGAACCAATCATTGGTGTGTTATGTTAGCATTAGCAGCTCTTTACTGAAGTTAGCATACTTACAGCTAGCACTAAAATGACGGATCAGCTTATCAATACGTGATCATTAAAAAGACGTTTCAATGACGAAATGTTTTATTTCTGAATAAAAATACAAAAATAAACTAAATGAAAACATCACGACATTAAATGTTATGACTTTATAAAAACAGGAAATAAAATCTTTATTGAACATTTCTGAATGTGACCTGAAGCCCCGCCCACTGCATACTCATTGGCCTAGACAGCTGTCAATCGTCTGATACATCACAACACGTGTTTTTATAATTAATGGGAAAAAAAAAGCCTACTTCCTGTGACCTTTGCCCCACAGCCTCAGTTTGATGTCAGTGAAACATTAACAAGTGGTTACATCAGTAACCACTGCCATTTACAACAAGTGACGTCAAATAAACCGAGCATGCTGGGAAAAAACGATAAAAAACAAAAACTTGTTTCTGGGAAGATGCCTCCCCCCTCTACTTGTGTCCCTTGCTGGTCTTGAACGACACCTGCAGGACTTTGTCTCCCAGTCGATACCCGTTCAGGCTGTGGATCGCCATGGCAGCCTCCTCATAGTTCGTCATGGTAACGAAGCCAAAGCCTTTGCACTTGTTTGTGTTGAAATCCCGGATCACCTTCACGTTGACAACGGCACCAAACGGCCCAAACATCTGCCACAGGATGGCCTCATCGACGTCCTGACCCAAGTTATAGATGAATATGCACCAACCAGAGGATGCATTCCCGGAAACCCCCCCCCCTCCACTCATGTGGTCCACACTCATTGGAGAAAACCTGGAACCAATCAGGATGAAGGACATTTTTCAATCATCAAGCAGTATATAAAAAAAACTCATCACTTCCTGTTGTGAAAGTTGAGGCGGAAGGCGAGAGTACCTGAACCTCTGCGCCTGATGATGGACAGGTCCTCCAAAGCGCCGTGATTGGCCATGGTACATCTGTGACATCATCTGCGAGTTCCTGGCCTGATTGGGGTTGGCAGCAAACTTGACCGTGATTGGCTCAGAGCTCCCAGGGGGTGTGTTTCCATTCAGGTGTTTGACAGCGTCTTCAGCCTCAGATCGCTTATCAAAACGGATAAAGGCCACACCCCTAGACAAACCTGAACAGCCAACAAGATCAAAGACAGGAGTCAGGACTGCAAGGCTACAATTGGTCGCTTGGCAGGTCACATGACTTGCGGCACTGACCTGACGCCTGGTCCACCAGAACTCTGGAGTTTATGATGCGTCCGAAGCGAGTGAACATGTCCTCAAGCTCTGGCTGACTCAGTGTCCTTGGCAGGCCGCTGATGTACAGATTTGCATCTTTGATCATGTCCGAACTCGGCCGCGCGAACGAAACCTGCAGCAGGTGAAAAGAAGCGTCTTAGTCGGACATCTTCGCGACACAAAGGTTGTTAAAAAAAAGTGACATCAGCCGACTAATCGGACATTAAAAAAAATATTTGAATATTCATGAAAAAAATTAAACAATGAAACAGTTGTTTAAAGCAAAACAAAAAACCAAAATACATCCAAACAGGCTCAGATCATCAGGGACTTTTCAAAATAAAGGCATCAATCTATCAAAATAAAAGTTGACATATGGTCACACTGAACTGAAGAAAGTCACAGACTCAGTGTTGACATGTGTCGTCAATAAAAACATGAATATGATGTTAAAAATACCTTCATCCGTCAGACAGAGTGCAGGTGACAGCGCCCACTAATGTCCAGGGAACATAACACATCTATCAGTTGAGACAGTAGAAAATCACAGAGCACCTGTGAAACTTTACCTTGATAGTTTTAGACTGTAGCCTCAGGCCATTGAGGGTACTGATAGCCCTCTCTGCATCACTAGGGTTAACAAAGTTAACAAAGCCGTAACCTAAACTGTGGCCTAGAGAAACACAAACAAACAACAAAATAAAATAACAAAACTGTCGACGCACATTCTCCAATCAGACACGCCGGCGTCCCACAGACGACGGGCGGAAAAAAAACCTTCTGATCAAACCCACAAAACTCAGCGACGCACGTCAGAACGACCAGAGCGTTTGATAAATGTTGACCCGATCACGCTCTCGTCAACCATCACAGCTTTATACAGAGTCATTTGATTGACAGTCAACGTGACCAATCAGATCTATTACACTTTGACCTCAGATTACTGAATTTTCACCACATGGTGGTGCACTCTCTACAGAGGTTAAACAGCTTGTCACAGCGGTAGAGGTCTCATTCTGTTTTGTATTCTTGAGACCAAATTGAGTTGGTCGCATTTGGAGAAATGTGATTGGCTGTGTTGAGTTTCATCACGTGCTGTCACTTATTGATCTGACGATCAGCTGATCGATCTCGCGGTTGTCAGGGAAATGGAAACTTGACATTTTGTGGACTTGTTCAGAACTAAAACATCTTCATACATTCATCATCAAAACTTAACAAAGATTTTAAACCTGAAAAATAAAATCAACCAGGTGAAAACATTTTACATGAAATTTCTTTTAAAAACAAAACAACAAAGGACTGAACGACATGAGGAGGACTAGAAAAATACATTAAAATTTAGTTAAATCAGATCAACAAAAATCATTGATTGTTAAATCATTGAAAACTTCAGTCTGATATGATATTTGATTGATTCATGTCGTTTAGACCTGACTTGATCAGAAACGTTGTCATGTGAAAAATAAAAAAAATACATTAGTGTCAAAACAAATTCAGAAACTTTTCAGAGAAAATCACAAAATCATCCTAAAAAACATTAAAATTCATTAAAAACAAAGAAAAAAAATGTAAACAAAAATCAGCTGATCACAGAAACGACCAAATAATGCCCCAAAAAAACAGGAAATGCTGCAAGTAATCTATTACTGATACATGTAATCTTACTGATATTAACAATACATACAATACTATAACTACCGATACATACATGTAACATTACTGACACTGATAACTATAGCAGTAGATTACAGTTACTCTGTATCGAGCAACATTTCGAGTTGACTCTGAAGTCACTGTGGTAAGATATCAAAAGTATATTATATAAATAGTAATATTATAATCACGAATAGTTAACATGATTACTCCTTGACTTTGGAAACATGCATTTATTGAACTTAAAAAAATTATTTTGGCGTCCATGTTAACAGATAAAAGTGTCTACACTGAATGAGTGAGCAGGGAAATGTGTGTCTGTTCAAACCAATGATCCCATGTATGGAGTCATTAGTCGATGTTGGATCGCGAATCCAGATTGTTCCAGTGACTAACTCTGATGTTGTGGTCATGTGCGTCACATTACCTCTCAAGTTGTGTATTGTAGGTGAAATGCAAGCGCACAAAATGTTGGACTTATTTTTCAATATGTTTAAATACGTGTCTCAAACTCTAGAGCGAATCAAACAAACACAAACTTCAAGTATTGTACATGTCCTAATTATTTCTGATTCTGGTAATACCGCACAGTACAAAGGATGCAAGGATAGGGTTGGGCCCCCCCCCACAGACTATAAATTCATTTTCTACTCAAATGTAGAAAAATAAAGTGGATATAGAGATCAACCGTTTATATGAATAAAAAGTTTGGAACAGAGTCGTCCCCATACAAATGCTGATAAAAATAATTCTGTTATAACGATTCATGCTTCATAAAAAAGTTATTTTTGCAGGTTTTACTGGCTAATTCATCAGTAATTTACCAAATCCAGCCAAAACCAAAGCTCACCCCCCCCCCAGCTCCACATACATTTACTAAGTTTACAGATTTGTTGATTTTACCCAGACTGAGTTTACACGTGTCTGATGAATGATAGTTTAGCTCTGAAGAAAGACTCCAGTGAAAAAGTCTCAATCATTATGTGATGATCAGTGTTGATATTGTGGCGTCAGTTGAGTTGTTGTCGCCCCCTCCCCCCCCCATTTCATTGTCCATTTACTGCAAACATCGTGATATGCTATCGTTAAGTTGATATCGCCAAACTCTAGCCTATAATGTGTATCTGCCGCAATCCTGAAGCAGCGGCAGCCATAATTTTTGCAGCAGCCTGCGGTCCGCTATGGTGTCCTGCTCCTCTCTAACCCTGTCTTAGTTGCCCGACATTAATTTAAGGAAAAACAGTCGTTACACCAGAAACCACATGCACCGCCCACCTTGGCGTCATAAAGACAAAATGAGAGCCTCATTGCAAACGAAACCCGAATTGATAATCGTTTTACGGCGAATACTTTGAATTCATAAACCCAGCCCTTCTCGTTAGTTACTGCAGCGTAATTACACTCAGTGCAACACAACAGTGCTCCTTGTGGTGGACAGTGGTACTGCAGCTGAGCAGTAGTTTGGAGTTGTAGTACCTTAGGCACACAGCAGGGGGACTTACCTGCCACTTTGTCCCTTATGAGTTTGGCGGACTCTACGTCGCCGACGCTGCTGAACAAACTCCGCAACTCCTCCTGGCTCATGCTCTGCGGCAGGTAGTTCACGATCAGGTTCGTACGAGCGTCTTCATCCTCCATCATCTGGTCACTGAAGCCATTGTCGTACAACTCCTGAGCAACAGACGCCATATTAGGATCATCAGATGACTCTACCATCTCTCTGCAAACTTGCATGTCTTTGAGCCCTTTATGTGTGTGTGTGTGTGGGATTGTGGGTTAAACTGCATGTATGAAAATGAGTGTAAAAAGATTTTCCCCTTGAGGGATCAATACAGTTTCAATTATAAACTATTATGACAGAATACTACAATACTAACCCCTAACCCTATTAAAACCACTCAGTCAACCAGAGAGCAGCGCTCACCTTCACAACGGCTCCTTTGGCGGCGAGCTGAGCGTCCCTGACGTCACTCTGGGATGACTGAACCTCGCACACCTGAATAAAAAAAGATTTAAAAAAGTTAATCCGGAAACAAAGTGAACAAGAAAAAGACAAAGTTGTATTGATGTGATCAGTTATTGATTGACTCACCTTCAGGTACCTGATGTGTCCTCTTCGAAGCGCCATGGTGACGTCACAGGTTGATCACTGTCTGAAAAAAACAACAACTTCACGTTATTGATGGTGATCGATCGGTGATCAGCTGCGTGAGGATCGATACGTCAGTGATCCACCAAGAACCGTCCGTCTCCCATTAGTGAAAACATGGAGTCACACGTGGATTCAGAAATCAACGGTGGTAACATTATCAACGTTATTGGCTGAGAACATGGCGGCTGCAGACTCTGGTTCCTGGTCCGGATCAAAGTCTGAGACTCGAACCCCCGAAAACTGAGCGCGTTGGTGCCGTGGAGCCGAAAATAACTGAACATATGAACGGACGAAGCTAACACTGAGATAGCACCCAGCTAACACTGAGCTAAGGTTAGCCGCCTGTTAGCCGCGTGGCCTTCTTGTGAGGCCTCGCAGCTAACAGAGCGCGCTCACGCTAACCCGGGTCGTAGCAGTTACCTGAGGCAGGTGAGTTTGTGTCTGATGTGGATCTTCGGGTGGATGTTGTGCTGATGCTAAGCTAACACACCGGCTTTAACACAGATTAGCTGTTAGCTGTTAGCTGCTCCCGCGCGACACAAAGGAAACAAACCAACTCACGCTGAGTATCGCGCGACCACAGATCTTCTTCTCCTATTTAAAAATGTACGATCAGCTACTGACCGCCCCCTCCTGGTGACATGGAGAAACACAGTCCGTATTTCTACTAATGCTGCTATTACTACTGTGTATTTATACTAA